CATAATTTTAATATTAATAATACAATAAACTTTGATCTTAATTTTTGTACCTTAACCGAATAAAATCGAATTACCTTAATTTTTTTTCTTATGTAATTAACGAAAACTTGTGAAAATATTTCATTCAAATTAAACCATTCTGAGAAAACTGTCCTGTGAAAAGTATAGCATTTAATTCCGTTCAGAATGAAATGTTGTTTAAAAATATGTTGTTTTCACATACTTAGGACTCTGAAGTGTTGTAGAAAAAGAAAATATATACATTATATGTATATTTGCGACGTAATTACAAAATATTTACACCCGAACGCGTCAAATCCCATAGAACTCAATGGTAAATGACCCAATGTTTTGGTCACCACGTAGGGATCGCCGGTGCTTCAGAGCAGGGTACGGAGAAACTTGTTTAGGGCGACTCCATCTTACTTCCTACCTCCATGGAGCCTAGTGGGGGGACGTAACAGGCAATAATCTGACGTCACTGTGATGCCACTTGTCCTGATTTCCCGCGTTTAAAACAGTATTTTCATTGAGCTGCGAGACGATTTTCTAGAGGTTACATATCCCAAATTAATTTTAATAATATATATATATCTGTTTTCTAATAATGTATATATTTAAAATAATTTATATATATGTAATTTAGTCAGTTTTTTTTTATTTTAAATTCTATATTGTAAAGTATCGTTTACGTAATATGGCTTTTTGCGCTGCAGTAACGTGCCGTAGCACTTACAGAAGTATGAAAGGATGAGATATTTTATTTCATGGGACCAAAGGATCCAAATGAGAGTTTGCTTTTGAAGAAAGTATTGATACACAAATGTCAAAGAGAAGATTCTATTAACGTGAAGAGCGGAAAAATTTGCAGCGAACATTTTCTATACAGTGTTTATGAAGATGATATGAAAAATCGCTTGTTTGGATAGCCACAAAAAGAAACTGTTGGAATGGAATGCTGTGCCGAAAGTAAATTATGATGACAATAATAAATCGAAATTGATGATGACAATAATGAATCAAATTTTAATGATTTTGAAATTAAACTCACAAATGAAAATGTAGATCATCCTGAATGTTTAAGGATAAACAAGAATGCATTGATAATTTGAAGAACAAGATAATATCCTTAGAAAATTGTATTAAATTGTATTAAAGTATTGAAAAATAGAGAAAATGAATTTTAGAATGTTTGTTCAGCGACAAAGAAGGTGGACGACATCTAGACAGAAATTGGTATCAGAAATTAAAATCTCAAATAGCGAAATTTGGGGGGGGGAGCACAAATCGGAGAATTTGGAAAAATGTCTAAAGCCTATTTTTATAAAGACGCAGATTAATGCATTACTGAAAAAGAAGAAAAAAATCAGGTGGACTAGTGAAAATATTTCACGTAGCATCGTCATAAGAGCTCTGTCATCTTAAAGCTATGATTTTTGGAAAGAAAAAAAATTGGAATATCTTTACCTAGTATTATCAAATTAAAGAAATGGTGTTTATTTTATTTTTTAGTGTTTTCTAAATTTAGTGTAGTCCAAGAATTTAAAGTAATGTTCTTACTCTAAAGAAGGAAAGAGGCGAATATTTGTATTCTGTAGAAAAAATATGCGTTCTCAGTTTCGACGAATTGCATATAGATTGAAAACTCTGCTATGACTCTAAACTGGACTAAGTTGGTTCTTTTCAAAATGTGCAGTTTGTTTGAATCAGAGTCTCATTTCGCGCTCTGCCTCAAATTACTGAGAAACCGCGTTTTAGATAGAGGATTTGTTTTAGAAGATGTAACTGTTTGAAATTTTGATATTATTAAAGAGGTTTTAAATAGAGATTGAGAAGAAATCAAATTGTGTCACAAACTAAAACCAAATTATTTAATGGTCAAGGGAAACGAGAGACAAAAAGTCGCTCCAGAGAAAACATTATTTTCAAAAAGTACCGCAAAAGGTGTACTCTACCCCACAGGAAATCAGAAAGCATCTGACTTCTATGAGTTAATCGATAATATCTTTGGTATTATGTGTATGTGTGTATTTAATTATGGCAAAGCACACTAGGGCTATCTGCCTAAGGGGAGGGATGCCTTCGTGGAGGACTTTCTAAGGAAAACTGGCTCGTATACACGTTACACATGGGGAAAACCACGAAAACACTCATGCAGCCAGCCCGTTCGCGGGATTCCAACCTCGGACCGAACTAGCAGTGTTCAGCGACTTTACCGCTCGGCCGCTGGTGGGCCTCTTCGGTATTATGAATAGTACCAAAATAGTACCAACAAGAATAACAAGTATTTAACAAACTGATTTTTAAAGTACTTTTGTAAAGTTATTCTTATTTGTATCCTTTGTAACTAATTATTGATTAGATTTTGTGCTAGATTAGCATTCTAGATAAAATATAATAGTATAAAACATCAAAGTAATTGGCATAAAAAGACCTGCTTCCTTTACTCACACTTTTGAAAAATTAAATAACTGTTTTAGGTACTCTGAATAAAGCTATTTTGTCAAAATTAAGGTAACAATCTTATATACATTTATTTAATTGTAATATAGATATAAGTATAAATTACAAAATTATTTAAAAAATATCTATTATATTGAATCGGAAGAGAATTATAACAATGTAAAATTTACAATTAGGCAAAAAATCAAACGTAGGTTAGCAGAAATGTTGCCATATATGTCATATATGTTTAAACCTATGTCAATGTAAAGTTGTTTTTTTGAGTAATTTAAATAACTGCTATTATAGTTATCTTAGAAGCAGCATAAAAATTCTCTCAGTTAGTATGCAAATAAAGAAATGATTAGAAATAAACGTGCATTAAATAAAAAAACCTGCAAATAAAAATAAAAAAAAACCACGGAACTTTATGTTAAAAGAGTAGCACATTTTATCTATTATTTTAAAATTGAGTAAGCATTATTAAATTTTTAATGGTTCAGTCTAAAATTCATAAAGCAGTAACATTGCCTTTTCCAAATTATAGCTATCTTTCACACACAGCTCATTTTAAACGCTGGTTCAAAAACGCTAATTTCCAAGCTGTGAATTATATTGGCGCGCTCAGCGTCATCATGGCTACGTCATCACTTCTCACTTTCTGCTTCAGGGGGAAAAGCTCTATGAAGCTAGCCCTTCTCTTCGAAGTCCTGGGTCAGGATGCCCCTGCGGCTTTACAATATCAGATGTCGGCTCTCTATTGTAATGGTACTATGTATTCTTACTGGAACACAAGTCTCTTTGAAAGAAATAATATTGTGATCATGAAGGTAGGAAAGGACTTACTTCCTACCTCCATGATTGTGATAGTTACATGTACTCTGCCCATGACTACCTTCCATTTGTTATGTTCTTCCGAAATTAAATGACTTGCGGAAATTTTCCTTCTCGATTTTCAGACGATAAAATTAGTTTAAAAAAATAAATAAATAAATAAATAATAAATAAAAAAAAAAAAAAAAAAAAAATGGGGGATGCGCGAGGAAATAAAGTTTCCTGAATGCAGTAGAATTCTAAATATCTGAGAATAACAATATTCTAAATATCTGATATTGATCGAGATCTCGGCCTTATCTTAATAACCGCTTACCACCTAAAATATTTCTTATAAAAAATCGGATGTGGGTACCACATGGCTTCCTTGTAAGGCCTATTATATTATGCATATTTTTTGCTACACTTCATTTAAGTTTATTTCCTCGAATTATTCTAAATTATTGAATCGATCTCTCAGGGCAAGTGGAAGATGACACCACTGGAATTTGCAATTTTGATGTTAAATATTTTTGTCGTACGAGAGTCATTCTTCTTTCCCCCCTTTTTTTACGAGTATAAAATTTTCTCGCATACAAGTATAAGAATACCCCATTCAAAGTTAGATTTCGTTATTTATCTAAAACAGAATTTCTTGAAAATTTGAAATTGCCGAAGCAGAAATATTTTATCATTTAAAACATTTCTGTAGTTGAAAGTGTATGAATACGACCAACGATTCCGAGAATAAAGGCCAGGTGAGAGCGTTCAAGCCGGTTAAGAGGGTGCGTTTGTATATATATATATATATATATATATATATATACACTACCCCCTTATAAGTAAATGAAAAATTATGCCTTATGAAATGTGAAGTTATATATTAAGTGTGTACTATTGTGGAAATTAAAAATTAGAATTTGTAAATAATTAAACTGGAATCGTTAATAAAATGTAAAAAGAAAGACTAAAATAATACAAAAGTAAGCAGAGCCACCCAGTCAGAGCTGCTCAAGTCCAGGAGCCAGGGGATCAAGTCACCGCTCGTCTAGACGATTTAACTAGATAACTGAACGACTTGAGACGGAATATTGGTATATATCTACATAGCAGTGTGTATATTAATTGTTAATTTTGTTTTTATCGTACTTTGACGAATAAAATCATTTCTTTCGTATTCAGGATTTCTTTAATGTCAAACTGTTAAGAAAATTACGAAATGAACCAAAGAACGTAAAATTTAGAATATCCAATTAAATATTAATATATTTTACTTCAAATTAATTTTTTTTTATTCCTCAAAGTTCTTGATTATTTAGTTATCTTCACTAATCTAGCTGCTTATATTCATTAGTAGTTTATCTGTAAATGTCACTTTTCCTACCTCTTTAGCCCCCACCGAGAGTGTTCAAGTGGTTAAGACCTTTGCATACGGGCAATTCCACGCAGATCTGATCGCAGGCAAACGAATTAGCTGTATGTTTGGTTTTCATAGTCTTCTCTGTATCGTGAATACAAGCTAGTCCCCTTTAAAAAGCCTTCCATGAAACATTCCCCATAGGCAAATTGTAATGCCATGTTCAAGTGTGTTTTGCCATAATCAAATTAATGTCTCGTCATTCAGTTCTCGTCTGCTTTGTCATATTCAAATAATTTAACTCAACATCTATTACCATAAGTCGTAAATAGTTGAGAGATTATCTTTCCCTTTAGAATAACGATTTTGTGTTCTGTGTTTTATGTAGTGAGTTCTATCACACTGTGGTGACGAAATGTTCCATTTCCAGTTCTTAAAGAGTACAAGCATTATGCATTCAGAAGAGTAAGTTCCTTTTTCATTCCTAATTAGAATTATTAATGGTATCTTTAAGGAAGATTTTTGATTTCGATCAGCAAAATAAGTGAAAGAATGTGGAGTACTGTCTCAATGATGGCACGCTGTTGCAAAGCTCCGTTTAGAGTTAAGACACAATAACACGCCGAATAAATACTAATTCAGAAGTCAAACAACAAAAATCAGCGTTATATTTACAAAATTTTCACAGGACTAGTTTCGATGGTTTTACCGAACCACCATCCTCAGCTGCAAAACCGCAAATGAACAAGATAGGAAAAAACGATTAGATAAGATAAGAAAGCCTGGACAAGAATAAGCAAGTGGCACCATCTGTTGGTGAAACCAGAACTAAAACATAATTTCTTTAAAGGCCGAAGGCAAATTTGGATTGGAATTAGGATCGTTAACTAGAACTTAAAGATTTTTATGAATGTGAAATGCCTCTAGAAAATCCAGTTCTCCAATGGAAGATGTTTTTGAATAATTTTGGCAGCATAAAAATTGAAAGTGTGATTTTCGGACCAACAATGTTGCGCAACAGAAGACTTCTGTGTTTCCTTTTTTCTAACATATGCCTCATGTTCCTTGACGCGAAATTTTAAGGCTTTCTTAGTTTGGCCAATGTAAATTAAACCACACTGGCAAGGAATCCTATAAATACCCCAGGAATTCATATCTGGAATGGGGTCCTTAAGTATGGACTCGGAATTTTATTGATGGGAGAATAAACAACCCGAAAGTTAAATTTCTGCAAAATATGTGCAACTTTATAGCTAATTGATGGAAAGAAGGAAATGACAACAGAATTTTTATAATCTCCTAAAACAAGAGTGTGCCTTTTAGTGTGTTGAGATGAGAATTTTTTAACTGCTTGACTCCGTTTAGAGGTTGTACTGCCAAGTAGTTTCTTAAATTTAAAGTCTGTTTACATTGACGTAAGACAGTAGATATGAAGTGGGGGGTTCTGCAACAGAGGGTCAGCGGCATGGCCAATGACGTCACCCACAGGGCGTGGTCAGGTGCAGCGTGCAATGTCATCAATGATGTCACAACAGAGGGCGTGAGGAGTGGAAGTGAGTTATTTTGGAGATATGCTCATGCTGCCCCCTATTCAGGCAAAAATTACCATATTTTCGAAATTTTTTTTAAGTCTCTCATTTGCATCCCTGAAAAGTGTACATTCTGTAGGAAGAAATTAAAGCAGTTTACCTCTAAACACACTTCTTCATCTCATAAAGATGAAATTTTACGGGATTTTTTTCTTTAATTCGATTTCCAATTAAATGTTTCTTAACTTAAGGAACTTTCTTAAAGAACTACAATTATCTTTCGAATATCCTTATTAAGAGAACGAAAAACTTTATTTTATTTTATTTTATTTATTTATTTATTTTTTGCGAATATACACAAGTCCGTATCAACATGCATTGGATAATTGTTTACCAAGATAAAGATGTGATTTATATGGATAATCTGATTTTCCTTTTAAATTGCTTAGTGGTAAAACGTTCGTTTATAAAGTTTAATTTCTAGTATATAAAAAACTCAACAAAAATTATTAAAATTGTGCTTCTTGTCGTTTTAGACACTCAGAAATATTTTTCTTTGCTAGTGGCTCACATTAGTCAAATTTATGTATTTATTTCTGACTTAAATATCTTAAGAAATTTCGTTATCGATCATTTGTTTGTTAATTTGATAGATTTCCTGAGTATTTGGGAGAAACCTAGTCATTTTGCCCATATGAATGAAAGAGATGCTTCTTTAAATTTTGGTTATTCAGAACATTCGTCAATTTACGTCAAAATGCACCATTTACTGTCATTATTCAATACTCATATAAACATCAGTATTACAAAATGCTTTTTGTTGTTGTAATTGCCCCCACCTCTCACTAATTAAAAAACGAGCGAAGTAAATGTAGGGCATGTAATCAAGAAAATTCATATGGGCATGTACATATTCTCCAAGTTTGGAGAGGTTCTGGAATGTATATATTTGTTCAGGAATGTTTATTGGAGAGTTTCTGGAACAGTGTGTAAATTTACAAGGCCGAAAAATAATAAATGACATCTAGTGTGAAAATGTTTGGTAGCTACTGTCCAAAAGTGATTATTCTACTATTCTCTACAATATATTTTTATCGCAAAAGTAATGTGCATGCAATTTCCTGAAACTCTAGATGAGCATTTGATTCTCACTTTCACCAAAACTTTTGTAGAACTGTAAATCTTACGTAAGAACGATTTTTAAGCACTTTTCTTCGACGAATTAAAATTCCATTACATTTTTCAAACTCTCTTGTAAACATTGTTCTGCAGTGTCGTTTAAAATTTAGTTCATTTCTTGTGACATTTATGCTTCCATTATTTACAGTGTGTTCTTTTTGTGTTGAATACTGATTTAATTTACGTAATCAAATGAAATTTTTCCCCAGAGTAAACTGCTTGAAAATGTAGAAAACTGGTTAATATTATTTTTCCATACATTATGTATATCATATGAGTTATTTTTTCCTTCCCTGTGTATAATTACCTTTTGGATTAACTGTAATTTTGAGTTACTGTGAGTGTCTTCCCTGGTATAATCCCGTTTAATCCTGTATGTCCTGTATGCTATAATGTGAAAATTCATTGGAAGAAGGCGGGTTTATTCTTAATGTGCATACTTTCATATACAGTAGTACTACTAAAATTAATAGGAAATAATCTCCTTTAGGGAAATGACCTCTAGATTGTTCTTAAGCATTGACTCTTGTGAATATATATTTTACTTGTGTATCGTAGAACCACACATTCTTAATCATGCGCCATTTTCTCGTGCAATCTATTTTGTTAATCTTGAAAATATTTAATTAATCTTGAAAATATGCCACAAGTTTTCAATTGGATTTAAGTCCTCTGAATTTCCAGGCCAGCCTCTAGCGCAATAATTTTTTTTTCCATCATGATCTTTGTAACAGATTTTGAATTGTGGCCTGGAGCCAAGTCTTGTTGAAATGTTCCCGAAAATATTTTGAGAATGACACAATCCTATGCTTTAAAATTTTTATATACTCCAATGAATTCATCAGTGGGAAATGAATTCCCAGTTCCTTCTACAGTGAAAAAACCCCCAACGATTTGTGTTTCAGGGTATTTGTTTATTGTTTCATTATTTCACCTTTGCTTCATCTAACAACATTAGATGTATAACCATGAACAAATAAATGAGTTTCATTACTGAAAATGAACTTTTTTCTGGTCATTTGTAGTCTAAGATTTGTGTTTTTGGCCCATAATAATCGCTTTGCTTCATTTGACGTGTCAAATGTTGTTTTTAATAGGCTTTCTTGCCTTCCGACAAGCACTGAGAAGTCTACACCACGCTTTTAAAGAATGAATATCAATACCAAAAGACAAGTGACATCTTTAAAGGCTTTTGCTACCTTTTTTTTTTTTTTTGATTAATAACACCATTTCAGAATAGAAATCGGTCAGATTTTGGAGTTGTTTTCTTTTCCCTCCATATTTGCCCTTCTTGGAGAAAATGATCTAGTTTCATTGCATCTCCTCAGAATTCAAGGAACGCTCGATTTTCCAATACCAACCGCGGAAGCAATATTTATCGGGTTTTAAAGAAAGTTTTCCGCCAGCGCAAATATCATCTGCGCAAACAGTTCGCATTGGCGTAATTAATCATATTTTGTCAAACGATTTTTTGCATTTGAAAGAAAGAGACTTGCTTTAGAGCACTGTGTTGTGAAATTTGTATTAAAAAAAATAAAAATAAAAATAAAAAATCGTTAAGTACAAGGTGTCTGAATTGGAACTATCGTCCCACCAAATTAGAACCATCATTTACTTCCACTTCTGTTGCAAAAAGGCAGCTACATAATGTCACCAAATCATGTGTACAGCTTTAGGTACTAATATTGTAACATATGATACTGTGAAGGTTTGGTACCGAATGTTCAAAAACAAGGATTGTAACATTCAAGAAGCAGAGCCCTCTGGCCGACCTATTGATACTGATGAGGCCCACCTACGAGAACTTGTGGAAGAAGATCAGTATGCAACCACTCAAGAGTTTGCTAAGGAATTAAACATTAGTGCCATGTCCATTAGGACTCAAGCAGATAAGGAGAGACGTGTTTGAGTCTGTACTAATCTGTTCGAATATCAACGCAAGGACAAAATTCTGGACACCGGATCGTCATTTGTAATGAAAATTGGATTTACTTCAACAACACAGACCGAAAAGGGGGTTGGTTTGCGTCCCTCGTTTTCATTTTTAAAATTCGTTTTGCATTCGCTCATTTGAAGTCTCCTAAAAATTGGTAGAATAGAGAGATGGAGAACAAAGATACCGCACTTAACAATCACACATCCATGAACTGTAACATCTAATTGTACCTAAAGGAAAACCAGATAAATTAAGTTTTGCCTGTCAGTGGTGCAAAACTCTCCATGTATATTCAAATAACCAGAAATGTAAACTTCTTTACCTATAATATTCTGTAAATGTTAAACAATCCGAGCCTGAGAGTAATGGATGTCTTTGCCATAGACTGGACAGCTTGAGTCCTCAAGCACGAGTATCGGCCAGTCGATTGTGCATAACTCAACATGTAAATTCAGATACCCTGAAATGTAAACATTTGAAATTCATTCATATACCCTGAAACGTATAATATACCACAAATGCCTGTAAAATGCAAGCCGGAGGGTAACAGAGGCAGATAGCCTTCGTGTGCTTTGTCGTAATCAAACGAGGTTAATAGACGATTTTGCCGTGGAATTGACAGCTTGAAGCATTTAAGCAGGCGAATCGCCCCGTTAGTGTGCATAACTCTCCATGTAAATTTAAATACCCGTAAGTGCAAACCTCTGTACGTGTAATATTTCTCAAATGCCTGAAAATGAAGCCTGAATGTAGTAGACAACTTTTCTGCTTAGTGGCGAGCTTGAAGCACGATAGCGTCTAATCGGGGTTGTATAACTCCA